AGCAACGTTTTTTATAAATTTATGCAACTTGCGTCAATAATTTCACAAAAAAATCTCACTTTTTTTTCGAAACACGCGTCTTATATTTTTATTGTAAAATAGGTATGTTAACAAATTAAAAAAAATAAAATAAAATGACGATGTTTCAAAGGTGCCCGATTTGACGTGGAATGCCTCATAGATTGTAAGTATTGTATATACTAATAGTCATTTAAGGAGAAAAAAAAACATATAAAATATTAACTTACTTTCAATGGTATGTACAAATTAGTACAAATTCAGTTGTGTTAATTTTTGCTCTATGTTGTTTTTTTTATGGTCCTGCTAACTTAAATATTAAACTATCAGCGCCACTTTTTTTTTGTTGGAAATAATATACAGGGTGGGGAAAAAGTATGGAAGCAAACAATTATTTCCGAAACTATTCATTTTTCGACAAAATGTCTTAGACATAATTTTTATGGTATGAAAAGATGTATTATGTGGCATAGACGGCATGACCTTGAAATGACCCTTACGAGCTGCATACAAATAACGTAATTGTTTCTTACATACAAATAACAATTGTTTCTTAACTGGGAGTGTTTTTAAGGGAATGGGGCTCATATGCAGTGTTTTGTAAACGTTTCGACATCAGCTACACGAATCTGTAACAAAAACTGACGAGTTCCATTTGAAATTTTTTACGTTATTTGTATGCAGCTCGTAAGGGTCATTTCAAGGTCATGCCGTCTATGCCACATAATACATCTTTTCATACCATAAAAATTATGTCTAAGACATTTTGTCGAAAAATGAATAGTTTCGGAAATAATTGTTTGCTTCCATACTTTTTCCCCACCCTGTATAATATAGAATTGTTTTTGGCAGTACAAAATAGTACAAATTCAATCGTATTGATTTCTGATATTTTTTTAAAATTTTAAATTGGTCCTACCAACTTAATATTAAGCCAGCAGCGCCACGATTTTTTTCCAAATGGCACAAGGTACAAAATTATTATTAATGGTACAATTTAGTACAAAATGAATTTAATACTAAAAATTCCGATAGGTCCGATTTGATCCTGCTGATTTGGCCCTGCTAGTTTTATAGAGCTAACGTATATCTGTAAACAATAATTTAATGAGGGACATTTATTTGCGACAGTTTTCTCCTTTTATTTAAATCTTAACATAGATAAAAAAAAACGAGATAAATAATTCCAGTTATAGCTCTAGAATATTCTATTTATAATAAATGTGTGACCAAATAAGGAATTGTCTCAATTTGAAAGCATTAAATGATATTAATTTACAAGTGATGTGAGCAATTGAAAGATACTTCTGCGTATATACGCGTTTTTTCTACCGTACTTCAATATCTATTCAATATATAATTCGTGCGTCACACGTTCAACAAGACAAGTTTTTTAACATCCTAAATTTCGCGAACGGATTACTATGTGTCGTAATCCTCGTCAATATTGGCGGTGCGAGCAAAGTTTGACGTTGGCTGGTCGCTCACACTCGGATTAAGCTCCGTATAAAAATTTGGTCGACTAATTTGGAAGGCCGTAGGTACAGACATGTGGAATTCCGGAATTTGCGAGTGCCCGCCCACTGTCGTCGCGGCCCTTTGATTAGCGGGATTCAAATTGCTCGGAATTATGCTTGATCCGTTATCTCTTGTGCTCTTGTGGTTTACATTCATTTCGGTGTTAACTGGTAACCCCAGATACTTTTGATATCTAGAGAAATACGAATCGTAACTGTTGGAAAAATTCTCATACGGGCAAATCAAACATTAGAGAGACTCACTCTAATGGATCGAAATGCTGCATCATCGTCGAACACGCGGTAGCTGTATTTGGCGTATTGCTTTGCGATGTTTCTGGTGACATAGGTACTTCGTCATCAGGTCCCGATACATCAGGTAGAGATTTCACTAAATCTTTTAGAAAGTCAAATCGGCTTTCCGATAGGATACACTGTTTCCTACAAACAATAAGCTACAGCAGATGCCATACAAGCAGATGCTATACAGCAGATTCTTTTACTTATCCAAGTATTTGTGATTAAAATAATTTTTTTATCAGCTCACCAAGGATCGTATTCATAGTCGTGATTCAACTTGACATCCAATTTGAACTAGGTTTCAGACTTTCATTTGAAAAACGCTTCTCTAATCACATTTTAATAAATCTGATTGGTTCAAACTTTGGCTCAAACTTAGCTTGCCTGTGGGCCTACTCTGTAACTTTTAAACGACAGTTCGGTATCTTTATACTGTCGTTGCGCAGCTTTTTCACCACGTAAAATACCTGTGCAATGATATCCCTAGCCAATAAAATTGTTGTTAAAAAGTTACAGAATAAACCCCTACTGAAATGAGGATCAATCGTGGATCGATCTACAACTATGAATACGGATCCAAGAGATATACTGACATATTATCCATAAAAGAATACAGATATATTGTCCATATTCATAGTTAGACCTTATATTTAAGGCTTCCTTAAAGATCCTCAGTAGCCAATAAAGTAATTCTTAGAGCATCTGAAGATAAATTTAAGGAAGCCTTAAATATAGGGCCTGATTATGAATACAGGCATTAGAGAAACATTCATTGTATTGTATGCGTTGTAAACAATGTTTTAGAAATTTGTACAGCATCATGAATATAACATCTATTTACTACAATGACAAAAACGTAAAAAATAAATTAAAATCGACCGATAAAAAAAAAAGTTTTCCAAAACATGAGTTTGAATGTTTTAATTGATTAAAATTTATATTATTTTTAAATGCAATTTGATTGTAATAACTGATTGTAGAAAAATAAAAGTTTTCTTTCCTTTGCAAATAATTAAAAAATAAATGTTGAGTTATTACTGCAGTAAATGAGCGAGAAGACAAACTTTTACAGGTCTGAACGACGATATTGCTGTTTACTCACATATGAGACGGACTTAGAGTCTTGGCGTTTTTGGCACTCGTGATCTGCATGGTCTTGGTTAACAAGGAGTGCACAAATAGTTCTAAGGTCCTAGGTAAGCTCCATTAAGGAATAATCCAACTCTGACAAACATGGTAAATAAAGCTAATATACTCTCTATTGTTATCTCAAATCTATGAGAATTCATGCTCATGAGAGAAAGAAAATAAATGAACTGTTATCTATTAAACAATATACCCTTCAAAACAAAATACCCTCAAAGATAAAGAATATTATAGACAATATAAGAAAAATATATCAGAATATTCCTTAGTACTGCCAGGGTACTCCGATCTAGACCTTTCTTGAGTTTGTTGGAGAACTATTCTACAACTGAGCCACAGCAGCTCTCTTGTGATATTTCTGTGTTTGGCCCATGTTTTGCAGTTAGGCCAGCCTGATAATGTTTATCATGTCACTGATGGCTTTTTATTTCAAAATCTTTAGGTTCTCTGATTTCCTTCTGTCAACAATGTATTTTACCACAGCTTGTGCATTTTTCAGATAACGTAATTCTTTTTCTAGGCCTCTTATCGCCTAAGCAAATCTAATCTCACTTTTGAAAGCTGTAGACAATATGAGAAAAATATCAGAGTGCTCCAGGATATTGCTAAAGTTTAAAATCTGTTGAGGTAAAAAATCTCTTTTAGCTTCCCAGCAACCTCTCTGTCAACCACTATCTCTTTTTGATATTTCTGTTTCATCCATCATATCACATATAATGTTATTTAGTATTACCTTTGACGGCTTTGACATATGGACAAACACTGTCACAGCCAAGGTGTAAAATACACAAGAGAGAGAGAGAGAGAGAGAGAGAGAGAGAGAGAGAGAGAGAGAGAGAGAGAGAGAGCGCGCGCGCAAGAGAAAGAAAGAGAGTTGTAGGAAAAGGATATAGATTATGATTGGCACCGCCTGGGCGACCTTTCCAACTTCCTCATCCGTCTGCATGATCTTCTTGATACGACCCTGACAACAGACATGCGGGATTTAGGTTTAGGTTATGTCACTCATATATGTCGGATTAGCGGATCGCGACATTGGTGAAAAAGCAAAGCACGTTTTTCCACTGCGGTAATAGGTGTCGGAAACGCGAGTCGAGACGACGAGCAAGCTCCAGATTCGGAGTCCACGTTCACTCTCTTTCTCTCCCCGTCTCTTCGCGTCATCGACGCGCGTTCCGCGACGGAATGGGGAGGATAAAACGGGGAGGATTCGCTTACCGCTGGAAAACGAGCGTTGTATTTTTTCTTCTTGCTAGGCATGCCGTTATCGCGATATGTTACGACGCGATACGGCACGGTATTGACGGTATTGCACGATTGCACGCGCAACCACCGTAGACGGCGTAGAGTCGCAAGTCGCAACACGCACGCACGAACGCACGCACGCGACACGACGCGATCTCGTGCGTAAACAAACGGGACGAGGAGGGGTGGAGGAGAGTAGGAGACGGGAGACGGCCGCGTCACAGGCATGGTGGATTGCGGAATAAGAGAGGTGAGTCATTTCCACGCAGTCTTGCCAACTCGCTGATAGAATGGACGGCACGCTGTCAATTGTCACTTGACAACTTATAGCGTTTTCGGCCCGACCGGGTTTGCACCAACCTGGGTTGGATTAATGGCGTTTTGCGCTCTCCTATTGGTAGAGCGTGTGACATCAACCAATAGGAAAGATTAATCCAACCCAGGTTGGTGCAAATCCGATCGGGCCGAAAACGCTATTACTTTATTATTGAGCATTATTATTGAGATTTTCGACTAGACTAGGGCTACGTTCCTCTTCTCATAAAGACAAACGTAAACTACGATTGGGTGATTTTCTTTATGCATACGTTTATACGACGGCTACGCAAGCATAAACATTGTGTGGAATGGCCCTAAAATGTCCACTTTTCACTTTCTATCCTAGGGATAAAGTTTCATGATTGATATCCAGCATACTCGTGTAGGAAAATTTCTCCCGAAAGGGTTGGCAACCCTGCTGAAGCGTGAGCGCTTACGTTTCAAAGGAACGTGAAAAAAGCATACGGAGCAGCCGAAAACATGGATTCTAACGAAATGAAAAAAACTATTTTTCTTAAAAATGTAGAAAGCGATGAAATTTACACTATTTTATTGACTGAAGAAGAAGCAAAATGTTTAGGAGCAGGTAAATCTATTCATTCTTTAGTGTTCTTTTCGGAATTATTATTGCAAAATATTTGAGGTTATCAACTGTTGTCATTTTGCAAAATTATCGGTTAATAATGACTGTTCCGAAGAGCGCATAATACGCGTGATGTATCATTTCACTTTATTATTTACCGAATGTTAAACAAACAAAAGATGGTCCATCGCGCAATATGCGTTTTATGGATCCATGGGAATATTTTCTAATTTTTATGCTTTTGTTTTTCCTTACTTTTAAATCTTTGTTTTTTTACAACTACAAAGCTAAACAAGGTGAAACATGATAAACAAGATAAGTTTAATGTTTCTTTAGGTAACAGTTTTAGTATACATGATACATAAAGAAAATATTTTATATGGATTTTTTGATTATATGATTGTTTTTATTTATAGGTAATAGCATAAATGCCATAAGAGAGAGTGAAATAAGTCATGCAGAGTCTTTACATAGTGACAATGTTGGAGGTATTTTTAATGATATTTTTTATGTAACAAGTGTAATTTCTGAATTAAAAAAAAATATGTATTTATAGTTTTTAAATGGCCTCATGAAGCGATTCTTTTATTGATCGAAGAATATACTTTGCGACAAAAAGATTTTATCACTGGAAACATATCACACAAGAAGATATGGTCATTAATCGCAGATAAATTAAAAAAACATGGATATAACGTAACTGGACTGCAATGTTTGTCCAAGTTTACTGGTTTGAAACGAACTTATAATGGTATTAAAGAAAGCAACAGAAAACCTAGATCTGTAATATGGCCATATTTTTCTGTAAGTTATTAAGTTAATATTTAATACAGTCAATAGCTGTCTAAAAATATTAAGATAAAAAGAAATTTTTTAACTTAGTATCTGAATCTATGATGACAGTTCTTACTAGTTATTAATCAATAATTTGATTATTAGAAAAGTGTTTATAATCATTTTTTAATATTTTTACAAAAAACATAACTTAAATGAATCTTTTTTTAGAATATGGATGAATTACTTCATTCAAAATCATGTACAACACCACTAATAACAGTATCATCAACTGAAAGAAAACGTAAGGCACGTTCTGAATGCAGTACATCTAGTCTAGGTACTTGTTTCGAAGACAAAAGGCTGGTTTATAGTAAGTTCATGTCTATTTCCTTTCCTACTTTTCACTTTGTAGTTATCTGTTCATAGTATGTTACATTAGACGACAGGGACAAGGGAAAAAGTAATTAAGGTAATAGGCATAAACCCGACCCTTGCTTAAAAAGTCCGATAGAATCAGATAGGGAAACACTATATGATTGAATCATGTTTTAGATTCATAAATTTCAGATTATTTATCTAAAATATTTTTAGTACTTTTTTTTCTGTATCGTTTTTTAATCAATTTCTATCTCGTGAACCAAATAGAAATTAATTAAAAACGTATCTGAGCTGTTGTATGATAAAAACGAAAATGTATAGAAATATAGAAAATCTGTCAAATATTTCAGATGGGTAATCTGAAATTTACAAACGAAAAACACGATTTATTCAGATGGTTGTTTCTTATCTGATTCTATTGGACTTTGTAAGCAGGGATATACATACTTTTAAAAATGCATATGTAATATCAACAGAATTTGAACCTAAGACCTATGGAGTGATAACCTAACACGCTAACTCTAAACTATAATCGTATGCCTGTTTAAACAATGTGGCATTCAAGTATTATTCAGTTCCTCGTATAAGTTTTTATAGTGAATTTACTATATGCTGTCGAAAACATTTCTTCCGTACACTCACGCACTTCTCCAGTATTTCTTCTATACCTCTTCCACACCTCTTTCGCAACATTTCCACACTTCTTCATCCATATCTCTTCTATATCTTTTTTGTACTTCCGCAATACTTTCGTATTTCTTCTGTGCGTCTTTTGTATCACTTCTGTACTTCTTCTGCATCTCTTCGCACCGTTTCCGTACCTTTTCTGCACCTTGTTTGTACTTCTTCTACAAATTTCATTCGTATCTTTTATATATACATTCTAAGTTGTCCAATATATCAAAAAACAATAAAATCTTATAAACTTTATTTCTTATTTCGCCGATGAAATGTCTTACTTAAATATCGTATTTGTAACGATTCATTTTGTATAGTAAAATTGCGATAAATTTGTATAGATATTATTCTGGAAAGTCAGATAAATACTTATGAAATTTTGTTCGTATTTTTTATATACATTCTGATAAGTTTTCCAATTCGTTATAAAATGATAGAATCTTATAGAATTGGTTTCTAACTTCACTAATAAAAGCTCATTGAATAAATTTCACATTGATAACAATTTATTTTTATCATTAATATATGATCGATTAATTACACAGGCCCACAAAAAAAAGTATCCTGTGCTGGGGTGGGGACTCGGCTATTCTTATGTATTTTGAATCGCTGAATACGAATTTGATATAATCGAAAAAATGGGCCATAATGGGAAAAAATGAGTCATTTTTTCGCTCTAGATTGAAAATTTACCCTGGATGATCCTATTTTGATGTCAGATTCATATTCAACGACTCAAAATACATAAGAATAGCTGAGTCTTCACCTCAGCACAGGGTACTTTTTTTTGTGGGCCTGTGTTATTCATTAAATAACGATAGAAATTAATGAATAACACAAATTCATCGTAAATTAAACCATCAGATACAACAGAATGGAATATGATAAAAAATTTCTATCGTCAGTTTCCTATAAAATACAAATCTTATAGGATAAAATACGATAGAATTCATATCTAATGCTGACGAGTCTTGATGCTGATAATGCAGCTTATAAAAAACGATATAAATTAAAAGAAAAGAATCCTACCGTTCTCAAATCGTTCTCTATCAACTTGTTTAACACAGAGCTCATTACATATAAATTTATTTAATTATTTCAATCTTAAATTCTGGATAACACTAATTAATATCATTATATGATATTATTTGTTTTATTTAGAAAAATCTCGGCAAATGTCTACTATAGAAGAATATATGGAAGATCTTCGAAATGGACGAAAAATTTCGGAAGAAGCTATTGAGAGGCGTCATAAAGAAAATATAGAATTACATTATCAATTACTTAATTCATTTGAGAAAATGTTAAATATTTTAGAAAAAAAATAATAGTAAAAAAAACAGACGATCGCCCGCTCCATTCGTCGTGCACATTTTCGCGTCCTTCATTGAAAAATCGTATACCCATCTTTATACCATTGACTGCGTTTGCAGAGAAAACTAATCAGTGTGAGCGCTCAATGATTCTTCAATATGATTGATTCTATTGGTCCTACATTTAGATCTATTGAAGATCTAAAGATAAGAACCAATGATATTAAAGAGTCACTGTGTATTATGTTTCCCCTAAATAGCAAACACTAATCATATAGTACTATTCCTAAATAAAAATTGAGTCAAAGTCCTCTACCTTTTTGTAATTTTCGCGATGATTGACGAAATATTAATTTCTAAAGATTGCCAAATAAACGATTGCTGACTCATGTATAATGCTATTCCTGATAAAAAATTGAGTCAAAACAGTCCTCTATCGTTTTGCAACTTTCATAATAGTTAATGGTTAAGCAATCGGATACGCTCATATTCGGCAATATTTAGAAATTACTATTTCGTCAACCATTGCGGAAATTGCAAAATTGTAGGGGACTTCGACTCAATTTTTAATCAGGAATAGCGCTATATGATTAGTGTCCGCTGTTTAAGAAACACCCTGTATATATTAATTATATGATTTTTGATAGTTTCTGTTATTATCTACAAAATGGAATGCGATTGATAAGTACACGTACACACACACACACGCACACGCACACACACACGAAGGGCGCAAAATAATAAGCGAGATTCTTTACAAAGAGATATTATTTTTATCGTATTATCTTTCTTTTACTTGTATAAATCAATTCTTCCTCCTCTTTCGTTCCAAGAATATTATTTCAAAATAGATTGTATAAAAATTAAATTGCGCTAAAAAAATTTATTATTATTAGTAAAAACACATTACAGTGATTCTACACACACACACAATTATAGGCGCCGTTACTAAATCCAATGAACTATACGCACCAGTTTCTATGACTACAATGAACAAAACATTGGTCACATTCGTGTGGTTCGTTGCTATTCCCCATATCGTGATAATTTGTCATCACTCATTAATACGTACTATACGTAGACGATGCGTTGTCAATAGCTGTATTTCCAGTGATCAGACATCTCTTAACTAACATTTAATTTACAATTAACTTACGATTAACGTCTAACATTCTAATCCAAGAGCTCATTTTCGAGAAATGGATTCCGAAAAAAACGATTCCGGTAAGATCGGAGAACAGCCGATTACTCGGTGGCGACAAAACCAGGAGGATGTATCCATTACCTCGAGCAAAATCGATAGGCCACCGACGGGTTTCGTGAGACCTCAAAACAAGTTCGAACGACCAAGATCTCGACGTGGACATAAGGATGAATCATCGGAGTATGTCAATTCGGCTACGTATCGTTCAGCAACACCAGGACGCCTTGCTCTTGCAAGACCACCATCGGCGTCTCTTTTGTCGAATCGTGTACCAACCGCGGGTCCAGGTGGATTCAGGATAGGCTCCGGACTGAGTCGTTCTGGCACAGGACTAGCAACCGCTAAGCAGTTCAACGTCAGTGTGTTGGATAGACCGATTACCCAGCATGGAATAGCAGGCATACGACCGGGTACCACCAGAGGTCTGCCGATGACGAGGTAATGGTGTTACGTAATCTCGCTGTTGGTACATTTCTACATATTTTACTAATTTTTCAAATTTTCAGGCAGATTCAAGACAAGAGATACTACGAGGGTCTGCTGCAGCTGAAAATAAGAGAACTGACGCAAGAGATTGGAACGATAACGAAGGACATTGAAGTGCAGAACAAGGAGAAAGCTACTTTCTTGCACTATGATAAGAGAGCCAAAAGCCTTGCCGCAGAGTTGACGAATCTACAGGCTGAATTAGCGGAGTACAATCTTGTCGTGGATAAAATGACTCTGGATGTGAGCAAGGGGGTGATCGAAGAGGAGGCTAAGGAACTGGCGCTAATGAATGAACATAGGACGGCAGAAGTCGAGCGGATGTTCGAGCAACGGAAGCAGATGGAACAAAAACTGCATACGATAGAAAAAGATATCGAGAATGAGAGAAAAAGGACCGAACATATCATTGAGAGTATGGATCCACCTACAAAAGAGAAATACGATAATCTATTCCGACAGAAAACAGAATTACAGGAACAAGCACAGCAGATGCAGCGCGAATTGGACCAACTATCAAAAGAGCAAGCGCGTTTGGAGGAGCAGATCGCTCTCTCTCCATTAAAGCAAGAGGCGGTGAAACTGCAAGTGAGAATCATCGAGGCAGAAGAAAAGCGGGACAAGCTACGGGAGGAAGAACGCAAAAAATTATCACCAGAAGATGAGAAGGAGCAACTGTTGCAGAAAATCAAGCGTGATAATACCGACATTGCTGCAACAGAGGCGCAAATAGCTGAGAAGGAGAAAAAGGTGGCAGAACTCGAGCAACAATTGGAACAGCTGGAGACTGACATGGAGGATAATCAATCAGAGAAGCAAACCAAATATCAGGAATTGCGTAAGCGCGAGGAGGTGATGGAGGAGTTTATGTCCACGTATGAACAGGACAAACAAGAGGAAATGGAGAAACTGGAAAAACTTGAGCAAGAGATTGTTGACAAGCTAGAGACCATGGCGAACGCGGTAGAGAACAACGAGTACCTCACGGAAGCTGAAGAAACAGCTATTTTACGTGATAAATTCCCATACAATGATTACGAAACCGTGCATCGCGACGATGACTTTGAAGAGCTAAAGAAAGATTATGCAACTATGCAACAGACATTCAACCGATTAAGGATTCTAGAGGAGAAGCTGCAGATAGAATCCAAGTTGATGAAAGAGAAGCTGAAGAAACAACAGAGCGAATTAATTGTTCTAGAGGATCTGGATGGCTTAAAAACACGAAATGAACTCGAACGGGACGAATTAATCACCGAACGAGAAGGACTGGTGTCCGAAGAGTCGATCTGCGAGGACGAGCTCAAGTCACTACATGCGGAATATAACGAACTTAAAGAGCGAATGGAGAAATATGCGATTTATCCGGAGATCAGTAATCAGGAAGATAAATTAGAAAAATTGAAAGAAGATAATAAAAAAATCGAGGAATTCATAGCTAAAGAAAAAGAGCGCGTTAATTATGAGCCGGTCAAAGAGAAAGCTTTCGAACTAATTAACAGTTATGGAGCGCTACTTCGAGAGAATCTCAAATCTCTTTATTAGATAATGTGCTTTACACTATATCTATATAACTAATATTATTTCTATATTTATCTCCTAATATAGTATTTATTCGAAAGTAAATATGAATAATAGTTAAAAGTAAGACGACAGAAATTCTCGGAATCAAAAATTTTATTTTTCCATACTTTATTATACAGATTGCCAAGTTTATTTTAATTCCTATTATCTGGCTACTTTATGTATCTTTGGATTATCCTTATCCACGTATTGTCCTTAAAATTCCCGTTTATTCACTACTCTCTCAGATTATAATGTCAGAAGTGAGAAAAAATACACAATAAAAATTCTTACAAAATATATTAAAATCAAAATAGGTGTTCCACAATAAAACAACACTCACAATTGATAGAAGTGATTTTTTTAATATACCGAAAACAATTCCTTTTTGTTTCATTAATTAAGGGGATGCTGGAGTGAACTTGATCGATGTCGATAGTTAAAAATTCTTTTACAAATAAAAAAGCCGATAATAGTGACAGCTTTAATTAACTTCTTACATTGTTCTGACCGATTTAAATGCATACATCTGTCCTTATCTAATATATTGCAACGCCATCTCTCGCAAGATCGAGCACCTACTGCTATTATTGCTTTGTTTATATTCTATTCTAATTCGCTCAGCGTTTGTATACACCTAGTTTGCAGATCGATATAAATCTTTCGATATTAAGCTTTTAATCTTATTTTCATAAAGTTAGCTCGGTAAAATTTTTGTACTAAACGTGGAGTTAAAGTTGGACTCATGACTTCTGCACACTGCACGTGGAAACGCTTGTTGTGCAGCAAAATACAACACGGTAACATTAGTTGCTTTCCATTTATACACAAGGAAAATTGAGTCTGAAGTGAGCGGAGTATTTTGTACTCAAATTAATGACGTTACTATACTTATTTACTTTGATAAAGTTATCACATGCCAACAGTGCCAACACAGGTTCGTAACCTCATTTTGAAAGTAACTCGTATTAGGTGCATTCAGTACTACACCGCTCACTGAGCTCTTGCATCTGATTGGCATATTCCGTTAGAGCTAAAAATATAGACCAATCAAATGAAAGAACGTTCAGTTAACGGTCGTTCTGAATGCACCCATTGGTTACTGCGCCACATTTAAATTTTGTCGCGCAGTAAACGTTACCGCGTTCTGAGCGCTTGTATCTGTTTGGTCTATATTTTTCGATCTAATGGAATATGCCAATCAGATGCAAGAGCTCACCGAGCGCTCAGTGAGCGGTCGTGCTTCTGGATGCACCCATTAGACGTTTACGGCCGCGTTCCGACATTTACTGCTGGTGCTGAAAATCTGTAGTACACGTCACGTATACTATAGGTTTTCAGTACTGGCAGTGAACATCTGAACGCAGCCTAATTAAAACGTAATTGATATACGAAAATTTTAGTGGATGTGTGGCATACGTTATCATGGCACGTAAATCGTCTGTGTGTAAGTACGGTTTTTAATATGACTAGGCCCGATTGCACCATTTTAATTTAATGTTACTTTAATTTTAAGCAAGGCTTAAAACTCTCTTTGTCTCTTTATCGGCTTTAAAACGAGACAGAGAGAATTCTAAGTTTCGTTTAAAGTCAAAGTAACGTTGGTGCAACTAGGCCTAATCGTCTTTAGGATTCCCTTAACCAACCTGGAAATTAATTATGTATAATGAAAAAAAGCTATAGGTCATGATATAGAATTATAATTAATAATATATAGAAATAAATGTGATTTAATTGTTTCTCGAAACAAGAAGACAGTTCTTGATATATTTTAAAAGTATATTCTACGATTGCAGATATCGCTTTATTAAAAAAAAAAAATGTCTATTTGAATATATATATTTTACACAAATTTTTGTGCTTTCTCACTTCCAATGTTATAATCTGAGATAGTAATGGTGAATAATAATCCAAAATTTTAATATTTAAAAATTCACTATTAGTAATCACTAATTTATTTCATTTTTATTCTGTTCAATTCTGGAGGGAGCGAAATATTATTTGACAATAAAAATTGAGTAAAACTCTTCTTGAACTGTTTGGTAGGTTTGATATTCTTTGTGCACATAATTTTCCACAATTCTAAAGCACGGTTGCAGTCTCCCATTTTATCTGCGAATGTAAATATTAAACGTCTAGGATCGTTTATATAAACAAAAGTAATAACAATAGATTCAAAGATTAAATCTAGTAATATGTAAGTGCCAGTATGGGCCAATATAAGATATATCAATTCTTTATTAATCAAAAGTGGTAAACGTTTTGATCCTTGCTTCGGGTCCTCTTCAGTATATAAAATAGTGATAAAACAATAGTTAGCCGCAAGATCACATTACGAAGACTGTGTCCAATATTACCCGGATGTACATCTCTGGGTAATATTGGACACAGTCTTCGTAATGATTCTGCGGCTAACTATTATTGTATCACTATTTTATGTACTGAAGAAGACTCGAAGCGAGAGTCGAAACGTTTACCACTTTTGATTAACAAAGAATTGATCGTATCACACACCAATATCCTATGTTGGCTCATACTGGCATTTACATATCATTAAACTTTAAAATGTAGAGAGAATATAGCTTACCGTAAGTAGAAAGGAGAATTTCACACATCACGTTTTGATTCACACCATTTGCATCGGTTACTTTAAGAATATTTTGTAAGCCATCTATACTTCTGTTACTTTCTATGTTACTAAGATAGTACACAAGGCAATTCATGGAGAGTTGGCAATCCTGTAATAGAAAGATTAGAAAGGTTTGATGAAAAGAAATGTAAATCAAGAAATGAAATCAATAAAATTAATTAATAATTGTTGCGCAAATTCAGAACATCATGTAAAACTAAACCGGTTCTGTAATTAAATTGCAAATCAGAGAAATATAAACTAAATGCCGCAATAAAAAATGTTTCGGTTACCTGTAATAAAGTTTTTAGTTTCTCTGTTTTGTCCAATGTTGCTAATGCTATCGCCAGTATCGTGTTTGCTGTTTGACCAGAATAAATAGTACTTATTATATTGTACACGTTTTCTATCCTGCTATTCGCATTTTGCAATTTTGAATTGTATTTTTGTTCCAACAATATTGTCAATACTTCCAATATCAAAGGTGCCTTGTGAAATTTTTGCGCGCATTCTGCAAGTACAGTCTCTGCTTCTAAAATATCGTTGCGTTTTAATGGTATCGCCATCAGTGGTTTTAGTAGCTCCGTGGTTACTTTACAGTAATTTTTTTTCAGAAGCAAATTTAACATATCCTTCGTGCAATTGTGATACTGACTCTGTGCTAGAACTTGCAGAAGTGTACAACAATGTGTCTGCGCGTTTGTTTTAAAATCAATGGCGTTGAATGTATCGATAATATCAAGAGCCTTTGTGGGCTTATTTGCCTTCACCAATGCGGTAGCGTACATCACGATTTTGTTTCTGTCAATCTGAATTTTATTAGGTGTAATTTGCAATTCGGGTAGCAGTGCTTCAGCCTCATTCAATTTGTTGTTCTTGAGATACAATTCGAATAAAATCGACTTTATGCTAGGCGTCCATTCATACTGGCATGCATCATATTCTTGTTTTATCTCTTCAACCTTTTTTAAATCGTTCTCTAAACAATATGAGATCAGTAATTTCTGCAAAATGTTCTTAATATAGTCTTTGTAGGCGGAATTAGTGGAACTCTTCACTTCTATTAAGTAATATGTTAATTCTTTGGCGTTCATGTACCTCGGGTGTGACATGACCTGCAAATCTATCATAGAAGGATCAACTAAATTTTCTATTAGATTCACCACCTTTGGAGTGAGATTAAAATTTTCATTTGTTTTTAGTCTGTCCTTGAGAATGTTTGCATCCATTTGTGATATCTTTACTTCACGTGTTATTAATTCTTCCAGAAGAAGCTGTAGATCCTCTATATAAATTGGATATTCGACTTTTATCAATGATTTCAAAAACAGACCGATAAAATCTCGACCTTGTGGAAATGCCGTCAATAAAGCAATACAATTTTTGAAGTCTTTAGTGACGATATAAGCGTTTACTAGCGGTTTCATTAGTTCCCTATAGTATATCTTGTTGTGTATATGGGACGTGCACAGTGGTACTATATCCTGCAGCCGATTTTGCTGCAGCAGAAAAGATAATAAAGGCGTAAATGTGATAGCACTCGATACGTCATTCAGTAATAGTTTCTGTAAAGTGACAGTCGGATTCGTAGTATTTACATATGGATATATGTAATGAACTAGTGTGTCGGAATCTATTTTTAGACCAGCGTTCACCATAGATTTCACAAGTGAATATATCTCAGCCTCTCCCTTGTTATTATGCGCTTTTACCAGTAAAGGCCAATAATAATGCGGTCGTATCTCTATATTCTTACGTCTCATCATCTGAAATATCGCAAGGCATAATTTCTTTCTACCCAACTTCAAACCAATCTCCGCTACATCGAACAATGCTTGTTGGCTGCAACCGGATTCAACAAAGTCGTTTGCGTACTTAACGATATCGTCAATCGGCGCATTTAATATTATTAATTCATTCATGAAACTATTTATAAAACTCGGCACAATCTCCTTCATCTCATTGTTCATCGCAATACAATTTATGATAGTGTGAGCGTCCGCAACTTGATCGGCACGTATCAGTTCTGTGATCATCTTGGAGATCTCAGTCCGAAGCGTCGGTACAGAGGTCATTAGAAAATTCAAAATAACTGGGATATGCCTGCTGTTGTTGGATACGCTCAGAATCTTTATTATCCTCAAAAGATTCGCGTTGTCCTGTGGCTCTTCGTTTAATATATTGATTAGATTCGGAATATCGCCAAGTCTCGCGTATCCACATGCCAGCTCGGTATATGCCTTGGTTGTGGGTAGTTTAGCCTCCCGCATTTGTGTTATCATTTGCTCGACTTTGGCGATATTGTTCCCTGTCATGTAAATCTGTATTAACACGTTGACCGCCTCCTCGTAGATGGTTACACTCTTATCCTTTGTAACAGATAAGATATCCCATAGGTGTTCACTATTAGTCGTTTTTATGGCTGTATTCAACAGCAAACGATAAGTATTTTCGTCTGGCTCCACACTCATGTCTGCTAAAAACTTCTTGGGATTCACAGACAAAGAATTCTCTTCATTAACACCTAGCAAAGTGTTGTAATATTCCAAAGTGATTGCTTCACCATTCTTCTTTGCCAAATGCCATACCTACAAATGAAAATAACTTATTTGATTGATTCTTTTTTGTTTCAATTAGAATATTATTGTTATATTTCTTTTTTTTTTGTCTGCATGATATCCTAGACAGTGAATTGCTAGCTTTATGCCAGTAGTTGCCAGCAAGTTTAATCATGATTTTTTAACAGAATCCTATCCACCTAGCAGTGTCCTCTTTAAGCTTAATTTTTTGTCATTAAAACTTGTCAGTCATAATATAACAACATAAATGTTACAGGAGTGGAGCATGCCTTGTCATCATAATGTAATGCAGGGCCTGTTCGTTTTCTGATACATTTTTATCAATATCAGAAAAACAATGGATTGTGTTCAGCTGGACTTTTACTAACATAATGTGCAACACAGTTTGAAATACGTGTTTTTGGCAGATTTCGCTGTCTGGAACTATATACTTACAATTGTATTTCTAGGTAAAACAAATTATGCCTTACCTGGCTCGCTAGATGATTCCTTTCCGCTGTCTCTAATTCGTGCAGTAGATTGCCGCAGCATTTGAGCAACAAAACGCCAATATCGTGAGGCAATTGATAGTCGTTCTTGCTACACAGACTGATGACCTCCTTCAGACCATCTACCAAAACTTGGCCTTTTTTAACATCGTCACAAAATGACATCAGTTTATGATCAATGACGTCGGACTGTGATGACTGCGGCACCGTTGTACCATATGTCCTTTCCGCTGCGATGTAAATGCCTGGTCGTAGATTCCGAGGATGCACGTATTCGAGAACATAACCTCCGTATTGCGGCGAACGACTAGTTATTCCGCATCGCGACAAATACAGCTGCGAGCGGATGAGTGTCAAATATCTTCTCAAATACAATATCTTATCGGCCTCGATCATCGTCGGCGTCAACGGATAGAAAGATACGATAGAAAACGCGCAAACCAGCGCAAACGCAACGCGTGATTACACAAACAAGACACCAGACAGCCCGCACCAACACATATCACGTCGTGGGCTCTCTCGTGAATGATGGAATAGAACTGGTGACTGGTGAGTGGTGGAAGCGATGTCAAAATAGACAGTGTCGCCAATTCGCTGATAGAACAAAATTGTAAATTACAATTTAAAAATCTATAAATTATTCGCTAGAAAATTCGAAAATCTCCAATTTTTCGTTAGAAAATTAAGAAATTGCCTACTCGGCAAACAAGCAATTTTATTTGTGTTCTTATATTTGGATAATACATTATTAAAGTCATGATTTTTTATTATACATACATATAAGCGTTCCATAAATAAGTATGTGTACTTGTAATGCAATAATATATCTTATATATATTGATATTTTATTATATAAATGTTGCATAAATAAGTATGTATATACTTTTAATGTTATAATAATATAGCGATTTATTTGATTGGAGTGCACCGAGTGCACGTCATATATGTTTACGCTAAAGTCACTAGATTAATAAAGTACCGTCAACTGCTGCCATTATGACTCCATCACGTGCGCTTATTCAAAACTTCAGCCTCTTTTGCTGTGGTTTTTGCAATTTTCAACACAGCAACCGGGCATTTTCGATAATAACAGAATCAGGTTCTTCTTCTTCTTCTTCTTCATCTTCTTCTTCATCTTCATCTTCTTCTTCCAGATCCCTGTATAAATTTCCGACCCTTTAATAGAATCAGGTTAGGATAGCACTTGGACGCCATTTTGGCTCCAAATGCTAATTCAGTGAATTTTCTCATGGCGGTTACTTGTTAATCTAGTACTTTGTTAATCTAGTGACTTTAGTTTACGCATAGTCATCGCGCAGTTATTCCATTACCAAGGCTCGTACGGGTAGATAGCCGTGTCGCGTGCCGCTTTCCTTCAAATTTCTTTTTGAAATTTTTTGAAACGTAATCGCGACAAATGCTAGATATAATAAACGGAACGTTGTACTTTATGAATACTCACAGTAGGTATACGATTACTACCTCGCACGATTAATTACTCATAAAAGAATTGAAATGACAATCATGGATCATGAAACAGATATTTCGTATTGTTCATTCATTTGCAATCAAAACGCGATGGAAAACAGAATTGATTACTATTTTGCAATAATTATGGACGACAATTATTTTTGTTTAACATAAAATTTTTGTCTTGCTTGAGTATAACTCTCGATTATACTTCGAACGAGTAAAAGGTATCACACGAATCATAAAAAAGCAACGTTAATAAATATTCTCATATGCAAATGACGCGATTTATGCGATTCCTACTTTTACATTTAATGTAGTTTGTGTAATTAATAATTTAATTAATTTTTTGTTTTCGTGCATCTTTCGTTACGATCCGTGTACAGAAAATTGAGCATAACTTTGAAACTATTTGTTCATAATAAAAGGAATATTTCTCTTTTTTATTAATCTCTAGCTCATTCCATTGAATCTAATCATAATATAGATAATAGTATATTAAATTTTTCAGATGATATCTTCCCTCTCACGGGTACGACCTTGGGTTGGGAGTACCTGGAGGATATACACGAAAAGAATGGTTTTTCTTAAGTATCTAAAAATTTTCGCATTTATCTGAATGTATATATCTAGATAAATTTTTAGATAGTTGAATAAAATCGTTCTCTTCGTGTAAAAATCCACCGATGGGAAAGCTAACGTACCCTCGCCGCCGATTTAATTGAAGTGAACGAACCGCAGCCGGTTCGTCGCGTCGCGCGTTTGCTTCGGGAGTGCCGTCAAGTTATCGGACTAATAGACTTTTCATAAAGTATTCGATGGAATGGAAAATTGTAGTTTGACGCGAAAGACTTTTATAAATAATTAGTCCACGCGCGATTATAATGTATTATTCGCGAGTGTCCTGTGCGAGAGGATGTCAACCCAATTCTGAGAGGAGGAGGAGATCTGGGAGAGACATCGGGCACCGGCGGAGCAACCTTGCGGTAAATCTCATGTTTTACTTATGTAAAATCTTCCAGTATCTTTCTTGTGTTTATTCTTGAGTCGTTTTATTTTACAATGATTTAAAAATTACAATCAGAAAAAAAGGATTATTTAAAGTTGTTGGGAGCGGCGTACTTGCAAACAGTTCAATTGCACACATCATTCACATCGGCCGCTTCCTAATAATTTTTAACTGCTTTACCAATGAAATTGTATTATTCTAAATTAGCCAATTAGCGATGTGGGCAATTGATATACACTCAAATTATTTCGAAATTTTATAAATATATATATTTTTAAGATCTTTTTTAGAAAGTGTATAGTGTTATTTCTATAAAAATATCTAACTGAATAGTGGAATCTATAATATCACGTTACATCCAGTTTGAGTTATTTTTAATTATTCCTATATAATATGTAAATCCGCTATTAGAGAAATGTGTCCTAAATTATATTCAGCTGTCATTATGTGCAATATTACATTATATATTCTCACATAATGCTACATTTATCCTTAATCGGATTTAATAACATCCGTATAGTTATGAAACTGGCCAATCACAGTCATTCCATTCTTGACAGGAATAGCTATGATTAGTCAGTTTCATAACTACAGATGTTATTAAATCCGATTAAGGATAAATGCTGTGTAAATATAGCCATTGGCTAGATTGAGTCGTCTCCCAATTTGTCTGGATAATCTGCGTTTTACTATAGGTAATTCGGTATAATGCACTAATATAATAGCCGAACGATGAATTAACAGAAGCATGCATGTAAATATATTTTCCATATTTCGATTATATATATATATATATGTTTTTAATATATTGTGACAATTTATCATAATAAAATACATTTCACACATAATCAGTTACATGACGCAAGCACACACAAATACACAATAATATTTTGTAATGATAAGTACTAAATAAATAGATGTACAAATATGGAAAATTATAGAATGAATAGATTAAATATTACATAAATATCGCGAGACGAGAGATATAAATTATAAATAGGACTTAAATACGCGGAATAAATATGTGATTAAATGTACGACGTACTTTAGAATCTATGGAAATTATTAAACCACACTAAAAGCAATAAATATTTCACAAACTTCCTCATGCTAGAAAGCTCTTTAGTATAGACAAATATATGTCGAGTACAAATATATGTATACAAATATACATACATGTATTGTTCTTCGATATAATAAACAAATAAGTAAAAATAAAGCTAATTTTCCATCACGTTTATCTTATGAAAGTTTAAATTCTCATTACACAATTCGATGTAACAGTGATGGCATAAATGGCGCTTGTTAAAACATAAAATGTACATCGAATAAAAAATCAATAAACTAAAAAACCTAAATAAAATACTTCTTGATGCGTTGCATAATGACAGGGGAAAATATGACGACTAAATACATGGAATAGATATTAAAGTAGACGTAATAGAGGAATATATATAACTATAAATATATATTTAATTAAACTATAATTATATATGAGAAATTTTAAATACGAAATGGCAAGTATAATAAATACGCAAGCGGTTAAATACGCGAGATTTTTTAATTATTTATTATTCCACGTATTTGTTCGTCTATTTACTTATTACTAAAGACCTTATAGTCAGAGCCTGCCATGATGTAGCCTTGTCTGTGATTGATCTGACATTTTTCTTCAATTCGTCATAGTTGTTTGAAATGTATTTCACTATCTAGCCTCTTGACAATGAATTGTTGTGCAAAAAAGTGCGCATTTTTTGCTCAGAAAGCTACGTTTACTTATAGAAAGAAATACTTATACTTAATTATTATCCAAAATCGAGGAAAAGTCGAACTACATATAATTACTATATTCTTCTTCTTTGAATAAATTCCTGTTTTGGTTTTTCCTATTATGAAAGGTACCATGCGATAAATTTTGCGTAGGTATATCCTCCTTGGAGAGCAGAGGACACACTTTGTATAGAAATCATGAATTTTTTTCTATATAAAGTTCATCTTTTTTGACTAGGTCTTGAAAGCCTTTACGTGTTTTTAACCATCTCTGACTTAATTAATAGAACTTAATACAGGATAGTAATATCGACTGGGGCAATATTGCCCCTTAAACAGAGTCTCACTAGCATTTAGCTTGTAGTTTCATAGATGGAGCGATGTTCTCCATATTTTATTAACGCAGGAAAAATCCTGCCAGACTTTGATTATATAGGGTCTCTACTTATTACTTGTTAGGTATTATCAATTATTATCGAGTTCGATAAACAATGCAATATCTATATTTTAGCTACTTAATTTTTCTTCTTATCGAAAAGACTAGATTTTAAGTATAGTTACATGTTATTATAATTACTGCCTCATGGACTGAGATCGCGTACTCTACTACGTAAACCGAGAGAAAACGACTTAACCAATGTAAATTATAAAGTAAATCAGTACGCTTTTTAATCAAATGTAATTATGCAACGGAAAAGCAACTTTTAAACATTACATTTTGACAATAATAGAAATTAATTTTAGATAAATATTAAATAACAAGTTAATTTTCCTTTTTTCGTATCATGTTTATCATGTATTTGAACGTATATAATCATTTTAAATTAAATATATTATTTAATTATTTAACCACTATTTAAATCATTATAAAATATTTGATAATGTCAACATATTTTAATAATTTATTTTAAAAATTGCAAAAGAGATAAATCAAGTTTATTATACGCTACATAATTACATTATCTATAGTGACTACTTTCGCATACGACTTTTCAGTTCTTTCTCGGTGAAACTTTTCGAGTTGGTCGTCCATGAGCTTTCTGACTAGATGCCACTCGTAAATAATATTATTTATACAATACGATAGCCAAAAATAGATAATCAATGATTTAATTAATATAGTACAATTATTATTAATAATTAATAATATGAATTAATTTCTTTTCAAAATATCATTTATCTTTCGAAAATTTCTCATGTTACTGTTTTTATAGTCGACGATTTTTTTAATCAAGTAACTGAGATAAGTTATGTTTG